GCGCGATACGCCACGCTTGAGTAGAACTTTTTTTACTCAAATGTGACGTCACGCGACATTTCAACTCAATATAATACTGTAATTATTCGATTAATTTAAAATCTAATTCTAATAAGTATGAAAAATATAAATTGTTTTCTTCACGTAAATCGATTAAGTTACAGATTCTGACTAGCTCCTAATTTGGATACTGATTGCAAAGGCCTAGTAAATAAATAACGTAATAATTTTTCTACTTGTATTTATCTAGTGCAGTTGTTTTGGAGTCAATTATAGTTTTTTTACACTAATAGATTCTATTCAGGTAGAAAATAGCGTCTGAGCGCGTCATAATTCAATTGTATTGTCTGACTGCACGTACTCTATGAACAATTCTGACATAAAATCTATTGTCGAACAAAAGCTGGGTTGCACCATCTTACTTCAACTTTGACAGGCGTCAAAAGTCTGTCTAACTCCATACAAAAAACACCGGTTATCGCCAAAGCTTCGGTCAAAGTTAGGTCACGTCAGGTGGTGCAACATAGCCAAAGAAAAAATTCATTTTGATCGCTAATGTCAGTTTGTAGCGAGTGACACAACCTCCCCGTCTGAAGGCCAGCGGCCGACTGCCGCCCGCACCCCGCGAAGGCCCCCTCAACAGCAAAACGTTCGGAATTTATAAAAAGTAAAATTTATGAATGAAAGTAATGTTCGATTGAAAAACGCAACGTGTCATTTAAAGATTAAAGAATTCCCAATCTATTCGTGCAAAAATCTTTGAAATTAACATAGCCGTTTTGGAGGAGTAGGGAATTTAAGTAAAAAATCGATGTCCCGTATTTATTTTTTTAATCCAAAACAAAGAGACGTAGCGAAAATTCAAACGTCACAAATGTAGTCCTTGAACTGTTGTATAACATAAATTTTTTTCAACTATTTCTGTCCAGCAGTAAAAGAGGAGTAGGCTTTACAAAATGCCCAATTGGCGCGGATTGAGGACACTAATCGCCTTAAGGTGCTTCTATGTGTACTGCAGTCTATGCGAATGAAGAGTAAATCGTCCAGTGCATAGCGCGCCGCTCCTCGCAAATAAATCGGGATGGCCGCGAGCCCGAGACTCCATCGAAGCGAAACGGTTAATTTGCGAATCACTGTTGGTTGCTGATCGATTTCACGCTGTAACAGCCATTATAGAACTGGTTAGTAAACTGTACACACTAGTTGTATAGGCCCTTCTGGCGTTATGGTGTATGGAGACAGTCATATCAAGCTAATTGCTAAAAACAGAAAAAAGAAACACTAGAAAAATTCTAAAGTAGTGCTTTACAATTTCCTAGATACGGGCAGCGCAGGCGTAATCAAATTTCTTGTGCACAATAATATCATCATCCTACATGGCTAGTATGGCTACTGTGTAAATTACGTACAGTGTCTTGTTAAATAAGTCTCTAGGCACCAGTGTCAGTTACTGGAGACAATTAAATTTACAAACTCGTGCAGGCTTTGAAAGCATAGATATTATTTGTTTTAGAACAAGGTACTAAGTTGGTGGCGAAAGCGGGCTGCCCCTTGGCTCTACTTTGACTGCATATTCTCAATAAATTAAGTGCACAAAGGCTTCTGGTCTTTTTTATACTGTCTGGTAAGTAAAATTTAATGAAATTGACAAATGTCGAGATGCTGGCCACTAGCTGCGAAATGCTCAATGAGCTGAGCACGAAACTCAATTGCATCCATAACTGCGATGTCTCTACTGTTGTGTAATGTGGTTACCGACACCACAATTTCCGAAGAACTGTTTTTTGATTTCAATTTGGAACCAAATCACTGAGTTCGTACCTACTCTTAATCAGCCTGTGGCCTCTCCACCACTTCTTCTCAGCACAAGCCGCTGTTGTCCCGAAGTGGTGGTAGGGCAAGCTATATTTAGGACGTGTAAAAGCGCTTTTTGAAAGCCTAGTTGTAAAAAGTAAATGTGTTTGTGAGTTTCATTCTTAATAATAAGGTGCTAGGTTGCCAATTGAATTTGAAACAGTCACATTTCCACTTTCGAGAGTGCTTCTTTTCGTTGCGCTGTGGCGTGGCGCGCTGTGGAAAATAATGCATGCTTCGATGGGCCTCAAAATGAGCTATAAAATTTTAATTTATGTCCTTTGTGCCGCTCTAATGAACTCCTGCAATTTTACAGCGTTTACATTAATAACAACTTAATTTTCATTGCTGATAATGCCTTTTCCGTACCTATCTATAATTGAAATACCGTCATCAGGTTTATGTAGGTATTTTATTAGCGTCATTCGTATACTTGTATGAAACAAGTTGTTAACTAAAATATTTATTTTACTCAAGTAAATAAACATCTCTCAAAAATCGCTAAGGTTTAGTAACTTGATGCAAGCCCAAGTCCTATAACTAATTTTTTACTATGTGTTTTTTATCTAAGTAATAAAATTGAATAGTGGATGTAAAGTGATTTGAGTGAACTAATTTTAGGGTTCCGTACCTCAAAAGGAAAAGCATCTGTTCTAACAAAGAAAACCTCTAAATAACTGGAGGTGATAGGACTGAAGATTGGAGGTCCCCTCGAAGACGGAGTGGCTCGCTTGCGAATGAATTTCCAACTCGCGGCTCTAATTTCTCGACGTAAAAAAGGTGGTTTTTTGAACGGTAGAAAATAAATACTTATTTTCTACCGTTCAAAAAACCTTGATCGAAAAAAATATCTGATATCACAACCTTCTTTTTGACTTAGCAGTGGTCGGTCAAAAAGGACATAATTCACACTCTTTTTACTTCACGGCCCAAAAAATGGGAAAATTTATGCTGGCTCAGCGAAATAATAACCGACGAATGGTGGGCCGGCGTATACTCGTGCCATTCGCAAATGTGCAGGAAGGCAGGTGCGAGCTGAGGCCGCCGCGGCCGCTGATTTATCGCGCGCCGCGAATATTAAAAAAGTTGCCGCGACGCGCGTGACGCGATGCTCACTTGTTTGTTCAATGTTATTACCATAATTCTATTACAGCTCGGCCTTTTGGCTAAGATCAAAGTGTGTTCTATAAGAGCTTCTTGATTTTGTAGATTAAAGCAATTGGGTATTTAACTCTAGAACTTTAGAATCCACAAAACAATCTTAAAAATATTAAACTCATAAACCAATTGTAGTCTGATCTAATACAATATTTGAATTTGAAATTTGACTTTTAATAAGTTCTCAAAATGAACATTCATTCATTACCTAGAAACACGATTAGTTTTCATGGTTCGTTTTAACCAGTTTTGACCGGTTATGAGTTTTGACTGTAACATAAATTATGCAAGAAAGCAAAGCAAACATCACTGGACTGAGTAAGAATATAAATTCTCATCTGTTTCCGACTCTATATTCTAAGATTATGGTATACCTACATACATACCTACATTACTTACTTTGACATGTAAAATAAACTACCAAATAATAGATTTTAAAATAATTTAACGTTTAATGTCTTACAAACTGTACCTTCTTTCAGTTAATATTGTGATCATCACTTAAAATTGGTCGACATATTTTGTTTATACGAAGCGCACCTGCCGTTGAGAGTGGACTACTATTTACTTTTAATGCAGGAACAGATAAAAATTAAATTCTTTTGTGCCTCGTGCAGATGGAATTAAAATGGCATTGGTAATGGCTTTTAATAATATAATTTTATACAGTAGAATTGCATACGCTTCTCGTTAATTTAAATTCGGTGGAGCGTATCGTCATTAAGTTCGGGGCGGTGCGTGGCTGGCTCGGCCTCTTTATTTTCGGGGAGCTAACCAATTAAGCATAATCAGATTTCAATGTAATGAATTCTTGATATCTTAATTAGGTACACTAATATTGATAGCGTAGTGAGCAAGTTGGGGTTGTTAGGAACTCGCTTATATTAAGTAAACTGATTGCGTCACCGCAACATCGTTTGTAGTCTTCCTTAAGTATAGTGTGACACGCAGTTACACGCCGCTAGGTGGCTCCGGCTCCGCGCCACATTTCGTTGACAAAATATGTGGCTATTTCCTCTGCTGCAGCAGTCGGCAAAGGAAATAACTACATACATCTTCTACTGGAGCACCTCGCTCGTGTAATAACTGGCTATCGAGCAACACATTAGCCATACACTTGCACGTGTACACTTGCAGCTACATTAACTTGTGGTAACACTATTTGTGCATACGTTCTGGTAAAGTTTACTATGACGTAATGTATTTGCTGACATTGTGCTCGATGAGAATTAAGAAACTTGAAGATATCAATTCATGAGGGATCTTAAACACCGATTGGAATGCAAAAGCCGCGCAGCGCGGGAGTTGGGACACGCTAATTAATTCTCAAACAAATTAATTAAGCTGCCAATTACGAGTGCGAGGTGTTGCTCCGCGCGTCTCCGGCGCCGCGCTTTGTCTTCGTTGTTTCAAAACTTTGTTATGGCTCCGTGGAGAGTTCTCATGTTTGTTCCGCCAGCTAGTTAAAGCCATCCATGCGGATATGTTTTGTACCTACTTAACATTTATAATTATACTGGTTTATTTATTATAAGAATTTATAAGATTCAAAGAGCGCGGTCGCGGTCGAAAGGGTGAAAAAAGATGCCTCTATTGTAATTTTATGTTTATGGTAGTTACTAATAATAACTATAAATTTTATTTTTTTAAAAAAATACATTAGATACCTATTAAATCTACGTTTTTAAGGTTGTTTTAAGGTATTTACATAAACTGAAGTTAAAAAACTTAACCTTATCCAGACATTAAACACGTCATCAGCCATAAAATAAAAAACAGAAAAAGTTTTTGCACATCTTTGTCTTTGAGAAACGCACCTTCGCGGCACGGCCTTCGGATTTCATTGTGTTTTCAACAGGGTGTCAAGATTCTTTGGTGTCAAGTGTCAACAATCATACTTTATTGACATATCGATGTCAATTTGAATGCATCTGGCTGACAGCTAAATAACTCAGATGAAGGTTTTAAACTTTTAATTTTAATTTGTTATGCATATTTTCACTGATATACTTTTTAAATTAAAAAGATTCCCAACTAAACCTCGTCGCATACGGGTGACAAACTTAATATTCTGTTTATGTCTCCTGACGGGGCTGTGGCTGTGCTGGGTCGCCGAGGACCCCTGCTACGTCCCTCGGCACCTGCGCAGGTATCTGCAGTTTCCAGAAGACTACGAGATTGCAGAGAAGAAGTTAAGCGAAGACAATCTCAAGAATTTAATCCTCCAAGTGGAGCGATTAAATGCGCAGGCCGATGTGGTGAACTGGAACGCGCGCGCGCCCACAGACGCCGTCGTCGTGGTGCTCGCGCACAGGGACGTCGAGCGCCTGCAGCACCTCATCATATCTCTGGGACAGGTGCGCTTCATCGATCGGGTGCTACTCATATTCTCCCACCGCTACTTCGATGAAGAAATTAACACCCTCGTAAGAAGCATTCACTTCTGCCGTGTTCTGCAATATTTTTATCCCTACTCCTTGCAATTGTATCCGAATACATTCCCCGGCGTAGACCCTGACGACTGCAATGCGTCGTTGACCGCGAGTCCCGCGACGCGAGAGCCCTGCTTCGTGCGTGACGCGCGCCGCATCCAGCCCAAGCTGCACTGGTGGTGGACTGCCAACTATGTGTTCGAAAGCGAGTGGAGATCGGACAAATGCTTGACCATCTTTTTGGAGGAGGACAGCTACGTTTTGCCGGATTTGCTGCACATGTTGAAACTCTCGCACCGCGTGCTGCCTTACTTCCCGAGTGTGCAGGTGCTAGCTTTCGGCGGCCCGTACACACAGGCGCCCGAATACGACCTCCTGACGATAGATGCGTGGTCGCCGCCGTACGATAACGGGTTGGCGTTAAGCCTGAACACGTGGCGGAAGATTTCTGCAAAGTCTTCATTCTTCTGCTTCTTCGAGGATTGCAGGTGGAGTCACTCGCTCGCATCCGTGTTTGGTAACTTTTCAGGTGGATTCGTAGACATGGTGGCGAGCTCGGCTCCGCGCGTGCTCCGGACGCGCGCGTTCCCGAGCGCGGGGCGCGCGGCGCACGAGGCGTGGCGCGAGGCCCGGCGCGCGCGCCTGTTCCCCCGGCACGTGCGCGCCGCGCTCACGGTGCGCGCGCAGCCCCGCGGCCGCGAGGGGCGCGGCGAGGGCGGCTGCAGCGACTTGCGCGACCAGGTTCTTTGCCTCGACCCGCTGATGACAACCACCACCGACGTCACAACTGACACTACCCTGTACCCTATTTATGAAATTAAAAATATTTCTCGCTCCAGATAAATTTTCTTTTTTTGTATTAAGTATTTTATAAATAGGTACATAACGTTCTTGATATTCGTGTTTGCTCTGGCAGACGACAATATTGCATTCAGAATGCATTTGATGGCCTGGGCCGCATGCAGGTGGGCGGCTGGGCGCGCCCGCAGTCGTTTAACATTTGCATCGCACACGCCGCGGCCGCGCTGGCCGCGCGCCAGCCCCAGCCCTCGCTCGGATGGTCCTGTAGACGCCGACTGAATGCTTACGTTGCTGATAAATCATGTCAATGTGCGCTATTCGACAAATTAATATACATCGTCATATACATTACATCTTATTTTTGTTACGATAGATACGCACTTTTTGCTACAGACAGAAACTGTGTAACTTTCACTATACAAAGTCTCCAAACTTTCATTTGATTTTTCAAGTTGGTTACCGGATGAAAGATGATGCAGGTAGAGGACGCGGGTGACAGCGGCGCAATAGATGGGCCAACAGACTGAAATGTTACGAGTATGTACCATATTACTACTTACAATGTTACATAGTTAAATTCACCCGCTGACCTGTCTCTCCTAGAGTATCTGTGAAACATTCGATTCAGACCGACATTGCTGAGCTTTTTTGTGTATTATAATAATTGCCATAAAAATCAAAAGTAAATAATAAATATTAAATAATCTCCGGGGATTATGATGAGACACGTGCTACAAGTTGCGGATTTGTAAGAAAGAACGAGATTTTATTATAGAATAGTTACTGACACGTTTTACAGAAGGTTTAATCAAATAGTCTAACAACACAAAAATTGATCTTGCTTGTAATTCCCTGGTCAGTTCAAAGCAGCAGATGCAACGCACACTTCGGAGCAGTCTTGGAGGTTGTTTGGCGTCGCTCCTGAACTCGCAACTTTGCTCAATTTACATTATGAATTTATGCTCGTTTCTGTGCCACCCTTCAAGCTCAAAGCTTTGAAAATCATAACATCATAGGTAGTCACTTGGTCAGTAGACAAATCAGTCTAACTTCACCTGGAAGTTGTTCATCCACCAACGTAATGTGTACAAACAGTCGCTACAACAACTTTTATTTGGTGCTCTAAGTCACAGGCAATCTTTGCCTACATTAGACACCAGTCTTTCACAATCTTAGTTGTAATTTAATGATATAATCTAGTTGTACCAAATACACTTTTGTACACACACATGATATTGTGATGAGAAAATAAACTTATTTATTATTATTATTTGTAAGTTCCATAATCGTCTGCTCTTTGACAGCTCTTTGATCTATTTGCATCTAGACTTTCATATGCGATTACCTTTAAATAGCTAAGTAGATAATTTAAGTTTTCATTATCTTATTGGTTGCTCTTGGTAGGTAGGTATTCCGAAAAAAATAAAATAAAATAAAAAATAAATTCGACGTGTTCAACACGAACTCGCAAACGATGCTTGCTTAAGTGAAGCAGTAAATCGAACGCACAGCATTGAATAGAGCTTTGTGATTGGTTCTTGTGTCACCCTGTGCGTCCACGCGCACTGTGAGACCTCATAGTAATATTTGTGAATACGGGCTGTAGGTCTTATACTTATTATTGCCTCGCAAAGATCAACATGAGCGACGCCCGCGCAGCAATCACCCCGACGCGGCCGCCCGGCGCTCGCCGCCCGCCCGGCGCTCGCCGCCCAGCCCTGGCCGCGCGCCAGCGACTAATTACGGCCGTTTCGACTAATTAGGCTGGAACTTGCATATTTAGGTATTTCTCATCTCTATGCAATCAGTTATACTTACTATGACAGAACCGGCTTCATTATTATGAGGGACACATTCAACAGGCTATAAAAATTACATCTAAGTAACGTAAAGTTTTATTGCTGTGTAAATTGATATTGTGATTTCTGAATTTTGTGTCTATATCAATCTCATTGTGTTGTATTATATTGCGGACCCTCAAAATTATAGCGGAACCACTTTCTTAGTAGTGAAATGGTTTGGATCTAGATACATATTTCACATGAAATACTTAGTATAGTAAAATCTGGTGTGGTCTCGTCATTTTGACGTTTACATAACTGTTGGCGTAAGGTAAAGATCGAGACAAGTGGATGTAGATAGATACATACACAAAGATTTTGGCTTTAACATTGATGGTTGTTTCCCTGGCCTGGCCTGGCCGGCCGCCAGTGTGGGCGCAGTGCCTTCTGCCCCGCACTAGTTGAAACGTGATTGCATAACGAGCTTAGTGAATACCAAATGTGAAATTTTTGTTACGTACAAACCTACAGCGCCGAGAATTTCAGTTTGCATTTCAAATTGTGACTAAACTTTATGTAAACTTTCATCAAACGATACTTTTGCATTTATGGAGATCTCTCCCGTATTTGACTTAAGTATAATATGAGATACTCGTACAAATTAAAAGCCATTCCTTTTATCATTTCGTTTTAAGATGTTTGTAAACTCTGTCATATGTATCTATAAGCTATAAGTACTTACCTACTCAAGTTTACTTTTTTAACATACTCCCAAATTAGCGCATAAACTCTATAACAGCTGGTAAGAGTTGTCTCGTACGTATAAACAGCTTTTTGTATTGTTTACTTTTGTAAAATGCAAGAAATCACAGAACAAGCAGTCAATGGATCCACCAACTCTCTCCCACCACAAACAACGTAGATAGCCTCGCCTGACACACGTTGAATTGATATTTCATTTTTTATTATAACAGAATCGGTAAACGTGATTAGAGGCCGGCGCGGCCTCGCAATATTGAATGAGAGCTGGTGGCCTGGTGGCGCTTAGCAGCAGACTGCCTGGTTCGAGTCCCGTCCCACCTTAACTACGCGAGTGATACCTATTTATTAGTGTTTATAGGTGTCGATCTTCAAAGCATCTTAAACTGTGAACTTGTTTTTGTTGTGAGAGTGATAATTAGTGCATAAAAATTCTAAAATATATTTCTTTGTTTCAAGTTACGAGACGATTAATACATATGCCGTCCGACAGGCCAGATTAATGTATGTGAGCCGCACGCAAGTTCCGGGTCGCGCGGGCAGTCGCGGCGCGCCGGACGCCGGGCCCCAGACGTTGCCCCACAAGACTTGTTGCTTCCTGGCGAAACGACACGGTTACACTACACCTGACCTGACCTACAGAAATAAAATTTATTATTATGCATCAAATAATATTACCACCATTGCATTAAATTATGACAATTAGTTAGAGTAGGTACATATTATAATTGTAAAATTTACTTTTGTCTATATTCTGCAGCACTTTAAATAATTTCTTTTGATTTTTCTTATAGTTTAAATTCATTCGCAATATCGAACAACGGTATACCGCGTAACTGTCCTCACGTTCGAAGCACATTGTCATTATAGATTGCGTCCGATGTGGATCGTCAGCAAATGCCACAAGGCTTCATTAACATTTGCAAAAGGGCAGCGGCCGCGGAGCCTGCAGCACGCGCCCGGACTGCCCTTTGGTTAGCACTTCACACTATACAAGTGGTTGCGTATTCAAAACCAGAATTTATTGACAATGTAAATAGGTAATTACTCATATTTGCAACTCAATTCATTACACTTAGTCACTAACTACAAGACTATGTACTCGTATAGTATGAGTAATTCAGGGATATAAGTAAGTAAGTCCTATCATGGTGTACCTCGACTTCGAAAGTTAGCTTGTACCTGTGTATGGACCATGGAATATAGAAACCCCACACGATGCCGAGACGGCTGCTTAGCTCGCAGTGCACGAACCGCTGAATGCTGCGCTACATGTCCGGATTGATCTGGGATTGACCCGGATTGATCCGCCTTTTAGAACGTGTCTTGCAACGCGATCACCCTAAAACATGCACCATATTTGGTATAGCCGCGTTATAAATTCAGGGTCATAACAGAAGGAGGCTGACAGGCATCGCTCCATAATGCAATCTAACTCGGGTATGAATAGAGAGTAATCGTATTATTCAAATCCAGCTCATTAAATTGAAATGAACAAATAACCAGTTTTACTAATAATAACAATCATAATTCAGCCACAGTCATTGTTTCACTGTATGTTCTCCGAACAAAATAAAAAAAAGTAGAGTTAAAGCGCAAAGATGAAAATTGGAGAGATCGTTTAGTTATTACTTGAGAACTTAAAAATTGTTAACCTTTTGTCTGGTGGCGTGGTCAGGACTTCGATAAAGTTAATTAAAACTTCTTTATCTAGGTACGCCAAGACTCTTAAACAATCTGTTAATTAATACTGAAAATGACTTAATCCCGCATAATTTGCATAAAAAACAATCGACTTATTATGATAAGTAACTACTAGTAGCTGTAGCTAGTACGAGTTGAAACTGACAGGTAAATATTTTGATAAATGTTTATCGCATCCTATGCTACTTAATACAATGTAAGGACTGAACGAATTTTGATAAAACTTTACAATAAGCATTATTATTTATGCATAAGAATAACAAGGCGTTATTTATGATCTGTGACATACTGAATCTCACGCGGCTGAATTCGCGGACTAAAAGAAGTTTCTAATAATGGTATAATCTAAGTAATAATTCAATTTACATACTTCAAAGCTGATTTGAATTATATACATTACTAGCTGACCCGGCGAACTTTGTTCCGCCTTAATGGCAATAAATAAGCAGACTTTTTTTTTAAATTTCGAACGGGATAAAAAGTATCCTATGTCCTTCTCCTGGCTCTAAACTACCTCCCTGACAATTTTCAGCTAAATCGGTTCAGCCGTTCTTGAGTTATAAGCGAAGTAACTAACACGACTTTCTTTTATATATATAGATGTACTACAAACCTTATCTAAATAATTTATTACACATTGTGTCAACACTGTCAACTTTGTCATTATAAGTTAAACCGGATAAATGAAAACATTACGCATGTATATCTGGTGGAGCGTCTTCAAAATTTGTAATTAATGTCTGTATCCCTGTGGAAGTTCGCGCACAAGGGGTGCCACTCGGGGTGGTTGTAAGTTGAAATTAGATTTGAGCGCGTACACACTTACAGAAGCAGCACAAGACGTCTCCAACTTTTCTCATGGCAGCTGTAGCTACGGCGTAATATCGTAGCTACGTACGTACGTAGCAGCGTAGCAACGGCTAGTGCTACGAGTACACTTTTATCTTGTATTTTTTACCTACAAGTCGTACGTATGTAGGTATTGTTGTTTTTTTTCATGACAAGGCATTTTATTTGACCGCAATCGCACCTTGTTAAGCGTACCTCGTATGGCTATAGAATATGCGCCACGATGAAATTTTATCGATTTTAAACGATAAGCATACATATTTATTATATATATTTACTCACCAACGCGTCAAGTACCCAATTAGAGATTTACATGACACCATAAATAAAAAAAGCTTGTAATAGAGGCCATCTCGCAAGCAAAGATTTACCTGTATGTATACGGTTGTTGAGTGATCAATACCAAATAATGAAAATGAATAAACATTTTGTATTTATAAAAAATATTTATTTAATGTCAATACTGCCTCACATCACATTCTCAAATAGGTATTGTAAAGTACGCAGGTATTTATTATTTACAACCATTTACAAATATCTGATGAGAGAATTTAGAACACAAGGAATATCGCTTGTCCTGCTTTTGTAATTTAAAATTAATAACTTATAATTCGTTGTTTTATACCTATTTTGATACAGAAAGTTGAAACCTTGAACTTAATAACAGTGATAAAAACAATGGACAGTGTATTGGACGAAACAGGGCACAAGCACCATCAATAAATCTTTACAATATTGCAGAACATAAGAATACACTAATGTTGTAAGTTCCAATCAACATTATTATTGATGTCGTTTGCAGGCAGGTAACAAATTTAAAAAAACCTATTTCATATTCCATTAATAATCATGTTTATTTTAAATTTAAAAACACAATTTCTTTAAAGTAAATACATTTTTTACACTAAGACTTGGCAAATCTTTTCAAGAGACCGGCAAAACAGTAATATTCGTAAAATCTTGTCAGATCACTCACGTAAAACATAGGTACCTAACATTCACTTTATAGCTGAAGTTGTGAACTCTACCACCGCACGCCACTCGAAACCGGTCACTAACTGACAGAATGAAGAAGCACGATCCAGAAGAAGGCGGGCGGCGCCGGCGCACGCGCGTCGCTGGACAGCGCGCTGGCGTGGCACTCCGCCTCGTCCGCGTCCAGCGCCAGCAGCGCGCGCCGCCCGCCCGCCGCCACGCACTCGCTGCGCCGCGNATGCAATGGTTGCTTCAATTATTGGTTTCGTGTATGGAAAAATGTGTCAAATTTCGCGGAGAATACTTTAAAAAGCAATAAATACATTTTTAAATAGTAATGTTGTTTCACTTCCTTGATTCCCGAAATTTTCAGTGCCGCCCTCGTACTTTATTTGCGAAATAAACTTAAGCCCCGATGAGGATCATTTCGATTTTTAGCTGTGAATGCAGATTTATAGGGCTAAGAAATCCTTAATACACAGTCCAAAAGTCATAAATGATGCTACCTCTGGGCTTCGAATTAACACTACTTTTTGGGACACCCAGTATGTTTTGTTATTCTGCAAGAAAGGGGAAAAACATCCCCTCCACCCACCCGCTCCCACACGCCTGATAACGTCTCGGATATAATTTTAAAAGCTCGTATAATTACAAACTTTATAGACTCTAATTTCCTTTTCACTCGCAGCTACTAAATCAACTGGGCCTTAAAAAACAATTTACTTTTACTTTTTCGTTTAGATTTTAAATACAAAACAATTAAGCCTTTATCTGTGCTTGAGATTGAATCCAGTTTAGAAACTTTTATAGCCTCGATAAAAAAACATTTAACTCATGTAAAGTGGCACAGCTCAATGGCACAGCTCAATAAAATGCCCCATAATAAGCACATCATACGCGCACACCATAATAAACTACCTAACTAATACCTATTTATTTTATTCATATTATTTGGGACAACCAACTAGACACAAAATTAAATACAAACAAATGGGGATTAGATACATACTTTCATATATCTTAGGACTATCTTATTCTGACTTTGATTTTTATTTTACCTACTTGTTCTCAAATGTGTTAATCTTTAAGTTGCTGTAATTGCACAAACTTACACGTCAACATCATAATTCGACAGTGAAGAGTCAATACTGCTTATTCAAAACATAATATTCTATAGTCCGATTTTTAATTCGACGGAATTCTGACAGCTGTCATTTTTTGACAATTCAGATGTAATAAGCCTTTTTTGCTATGAATTATTAATAAATAATATGAAATGAAATTTCATCAAGTACAATTTACAAGAATGAACTATTTTTTGTATTGTGAATTCAATGAAAACTAATTATTATTTACATTTTAGAGATTAAATAGAAAAAAACGTGTTTTTAAAGTAGTAAAACAACATATTATCATAAACGAAAATATGTATTGATCATCAATCATCATTAACGTCATCATAATCAACTTGGATTATAAAATTGGCATCTTGTTAAGTTGATTATTTTATGAAGCTAAGATTTTATTAACAAAAGGATTTTCATAAAAAAGGTTTGTAACCCATGTATTATTGGCCAGGGAGACCAGTAATAGAAAAATAATTTCCCAATTTTTTTTGCAACTTCAAAAGTATGATAATAAAAATTCAAATAACCATTTTGAAATGATCGGTACATTTTTAAGCCTTAGTTTTTCACGTTAAACCTTAAATTCAAGAAAGGATTATTTTTTAATTTATGAAAATGCTCTCCATTCTTAGTGGGAATGTTTCAGTGTTGACAACACTTCTGAAATTGAATAAAACATGAATTCCCAAATAACCCTCACGTCAGTTAGGCCTTATCGATTCCGTGCGACCGAAATGTCCTTGTCCCGTCCATTCAGTTATGTGATTTCGGGGAGGTACAAATACTAAACCAATTTCCTTAACCCCATCACAGCCTCCGGCTTTTTCAAACTTTTCAGTGCTGGCCTCGTCTGTCAGATCATATTAGTTTTTTAAAAAGCCCGTTGAAATATCCGTGATTCCATTGGAACGTGAAAAATTGAATTTTGTTGATGCTGTTTTTTGTTAACACCGTTACTTGTTACGTCATGTCCACTGTCCAGCAAATGTGTTTTCTTTAAGTCCATTGTACAGCACATCCGACTATACAATTTAAGTTTGCGAAATCACACCTATTAAAATGGTAAATATGACAATAACGTGCATAACTTGATGCTGCAACGTTGTCTGTACACAACCTTCCTCAGTGGCCGGCAGAATTTTTAATACGATCAGACGATATTTGCATAATATTTTAATCAATTTTCATCTATAAACTACCATTAGCCTGCTAAATTGCCTATAAGTGTACAACAAGAGGAAAAAATGCGTACACTTTAAATACGTTGAGCCTAAGGGTTCGGACAAACCAACGCGATCACACCGCGATCAGCCGGCGTGCAGCGATGGCGACCAGACCTAAATGCATTGATGGCCCGATGGCCATCTGCACGCCGGTTGATCGCGTTGGTTTGGCCGAACCTTAAGAGTTGACGTTCATAAGTGCCACTTGTGGTCTAAACTGAATAAATACTTTTGATTTTGATTGATTTTGATTTTGGTTGAAATTGCAATGAAAACGTGTGATTTTTGCTCTGGACGATGAGCACCCTCCGTTCCATCCACTTCAACCCTTATGCACATCTATCGTATAGGCACTACACTGTAGTCCTTTTCACACAACAACTTCATCCAATTATTATTGTTTTCAGCCAGAGAAAAGTTATTTTGATAAATAATTGTCGCTAGTTCAGGTCAATAGTGGCTTAAGACCCGGTCCCCACAAAGGTGGAGCGAAGCAGAGAAGTATTTTGAATATTAATCAGTTTTTCTGGTTTTTCAAAACACTTTTCCGCGGTGCCGCCTTGGTGGAAACCTTATTAAACTGGTAAGTTTTAGAATTTCTAATAGATATTGAGTGGATATTAGAATACGCTAATTTAAACGGTATCTTAGTGAAGGTTGAAGAATCTCCAATTAGCGAGCATAAGACAGTTAACTGGAGGGCCCCTTGATCCGAATCTACCAGGCCAGACAGCGCGGGCGTCGGTTCTTGCTAAATACTAAGTTGCAGTGCAAGCTTGCTTAGTTGAGTGCCCTTGTACGCACTTACTTTCCACCTGTTGCAGGTTGTTCTACCGTCGTATTTAGCTTAAGGACTAATTATAATGAGGCATAATAATTAATTTAATAGTATAAATGAAATTTTGATCGTTAGACTGTGAGGATTCGGATGACTTGGATTTGATTCATAGATGAAAAAAAATGTAAACTTTGGTCAGCGAGTGCAGTTGAACGTCTGAAAAGATTACGTATTCTGAAGGATGCGTCAGTCCGACTGAATATGACGTATGATGTCATTGTCGTAAAGTAACATTAGCCTTAGATGCCACATACACCCCACAAGTTCAAGGTATTAGGTAAGAGCCATGTCACAAAAATAATACTACGCGTGATTTCATTACAAATCTGCGTTGTACTTTCGGCCAAATCGAGTATATTAATTGTTCTAAGTTTATCACAACTTTTCTGAACATATTGTGCCATGGAGCTTAATCTTAGTATCAAGTGACGCAGGATATCTTACGGTCCCACACTGGATCGAGCNACGCGCCCACCCACGACACGCTGCAGCCGCAGCGCAGCGGGTTGCCCGCCACCACCAACCCACCTGAGAAACGTACGCTTTCGTTCATTTCTTTCGACCGGTCGGGACTTGGGACGTAGGTGTTTTACTGCGGTGGATGTTGAGTTACCCGAAGCGAGTTTGGTGGCGAATCGGTTCCAGCCCGTCAGGTTCGGGTACAACGTCGCCGGGCCGAACGAGACCAGCCGGTTGTCGCTGAAGTCCAGCGCGAGGTGCGGCACGCGCGCCAGCGGCCGCACCAGCCCCGCCGGCAGCGCGGTCACGCCCGTGCCGCTCAGCCGCAGCGCCAGCGCGCGCTGCCGGCCCAGCGACGCGAACGCGTGCGCCGACACGCGCCGCAGCGCGCCTCCCCGCACTTCCAGCGCGCGGAGCTTGGGCGCCCGCAGCCCGTGCAACTGCTCGTCGAGCGCGCTCGATCTCACGTGCAGCACGATCGACTCGAGACCTGGAACGTAGCTGGCCACCGCCGCGATAGATACGCCTCCAGTCGGAGATTCTATAGCCACCGACCGCAGGGATGCGAGTGACAAAAATGCGCGCGGTTCGATTGCATCCAGATGCCACAGATGTTCCATTCTAAGATGCATCAATTTATCTAGACCCTCGAATGATCCTCTTGTCACTCGAACCAATGGATTATGTGATACATCTAAACTAGACAATCTAGGGAGACCCGTCCACATCGATGGATGGAGCGATGTCAGTTTGTTGAATGATATGTCAAGTGAACGTAAGTTGGTGAGTCGGCGGACATCTGTTTCGCGAAAAGAAGCAATCTGATTTACGCTCAGATCGAGATGGGTCAGATTAGCGAGTGGTAGATGAGGGATAACCTTCAGTCCAGAGCCGGCCAGTGCCAGCTTTCTGAGTCTGGGCAGGTTGTGAAAGAGCTCCTTAAAGTTGGTTTTTATAGAATTATGGGAAAGGTCGAGCCGAGCGAGTCGAGAGAGGCCGGCGAAAGTGTTGTCCGAGAGCACCGTGAGAGCATTGCTCGCGAGCCCCAGCTCGTGCAGGAAGGAGGTGGCGTGCAGCATGGCGGCGTCCAGGTACTCCAGGCGGTTGCGCGCGAGCTCCAGGCGGCGCAGCGTGAAGCCCACGTGCGCCAGCGCGCTGCCGGGGAACAGCCCGAGCCGGTTGTCGCTGAGGTCCAGGTGCTCCAGCACCGTGTTCTTGAAGCAGTCCCGCGGCAGCGCGCGCAGCTCGTTGGCGGCCAGCCGCAGGTGGCGCAGGCACCGCATGTTGTGGAACTGCTCGATAGACAACTGTCCTAGTTTGTTATGGGAAAGATCGAGTATCTGCAATGAAGACAAATCAGAAAATGATCGTTTTTTCACTGAACTAATATTGTTATTGTTTAAACTTAAAATTTGTAATTTTGGTAGGTTGCTGAAACTGTAGTTATCAATGTGCAATAGTCTGTTATGCGATAAAAGTATTTGTCTAATGCTTGCACCCAATGAATCAAAGAAACTTTTGGGCAAAGTTTCGATCGAGTTGTAAGATAAATCCAAAATGCTGATATAAACGGCGGGCCCCCCGGTGAGTGTTGATATTTGGTTGTGGCTAACGTTTACGGCTAAGTCTTTTTCTTCACTAGATACGTTTTCAAAATATCCAGTAGAGAACTCGAGCAAGCGGTTCTGCTGCAGGTCGAGAGCTTCTAGTCTTGGCAGATCACTGAACGCTCTATCGGCGACGAACTCTACGAGGTTCCCGGCTAAACTTAAATAAACCAAGTTCCGTAAACTTGCAAAGCTATGCTCGCTGATGTTGAGCATACGATTGTACGACAAATCTATGCTTTGCAATTCGGATAAATTCATAAGAAACTTTGAGTTCACTTTGCTTATGTAGTTGTATGACAGTCTCAGTTCCTTAAGCCGAGAAGCACTGTTCGTTTCATTCATTTCACTAGGAAACTCTACTATCTTATTAAAATCTAAATTAAGAAATTCCAAAGACGGAAAATTATAGATATCGTCCGACGACACTCGATGAATATTATTATTATCTAAAGTGAGCCACGTCAAGTTCGTCAACAGTGATTCCAGAGGGAACTCTCCGCTGAAGAGCGTAGAGGATAACTCCAACAAGTGTAACTCGGTGAGGTCAGCGAACGCGGCGGGGTCGACGTAGTACAGGTCGTTGAAGCTCAGCGCCAGCTCGCGCAGCGGCAGCGCCGGGAGCGCGCCGGCCGGCAGCTGCGCGATGCGGTTCCCGCGCAGCCCCAGCGCGGCCAGCGCGCGCGCCCACGCGCCGAACGCCTCCGGCGCCACGCTCGCGATGCGGTTGTACCCCAGCTCCAGCCGCGTCAGCGCGCCCGGCGCCAGCCCGCTCAGCCCCGCCGGGAACGCGCTCAAGTAGTTGCCCGCCGCCGACAGCGAGTACAGGTTCGGCGGCAGGTCCTCCAGCTCTTCCAGCCTGTTGTAGGCGACCGACAGATACCTCAGCCGCGTTAACTCCCTGACGCTGCTCGGTAAAGTTGCCAAGTCGTTGTGGTCCAAGTCGAGGCGTTCCAAATCGCGTTTCAACGCATGTACAGCCGCATCCGAAACGACCGCTATTCGATTGTGCGAGATTGACAGTTTTACGAGACGCATATTGTCCAGCGGCAGGGAAGGAATGGTCGTGAAATCGTTCATATCCAAGATGAGTTGCTTGAGCTGCAATTTGGCAAGAAATTCGAAGTCGTAATAATCATCGAGCTCGTTGTGGCTGAGATCGAGAGAGTCTATCCTGGAGCGCTCGAGGCGGCAGGAGTGGTTGGCGGCGGCGCGCAGCAGGTTGTCGCGCAGCTGCAGGTGGCGCAGGCGCGGCAGGCGCGCGGCGGCGCAGGGCAGGCGCGGCAGCAGGTTGTCGGCCAGCCGCAGCAGCGCCAGCGCCGGCGGCAGCGCGCCCGGCGCCAGCGCGTGCAGCCGGTTGCCGTCCAGCTCCAGCGCCGCCAGCCGACGCAGCGGCGCCAGCGCGCCCGAGCTCAGCGCGCACAGGTGGTTGTTGCTCAGGGAGAGTGTGCTCAGAGATTCGACCAGAAACCCCCAGTCCATCTTCGGGTCGATTTCGCTTATGAAGTTGCTGCAAACGAGGAGTCTCACTTTAGATAAGATTAGATTGTTTTTCATTAACACTTACGTACCTAAACGTAACATACTCACTTCTGCAAATTGAGCCAGTTTAACACTTTCAGTTCGTGTAACGCTTCTATCGGTACCTCTGTGAATTCATTGTATCCTAGATCCAACGAGGCCAGCGTGTTTGCCATGGACCTGCAAGTGTGATATGGTGAGTGACGGGTGGCTACGTGCTACGTGCGCGACGGTGCTGCGGGCGAGGGCACGTACGAGAGCGCGCGCGGCTCGATGTGGTGCAGCTGCGAGGCCACGAGCACGAGCGTGCGCAGGCGCCGCGCGTCCAGCGCCGCCTCGCCCAGCGCGCCCAGCCGCGCCTGCGACACCGACACATGCCACACCGAAGCGTCTGAACACAAACGATAAACATTACCTACAAGTACAACATAACTCCCAAGTCTTTCTCTGGAAAAATCATAGCTTTTTTCGTAAATTATATTTGGAGGCACAAGCTTCAATACATGGACGAATAAACTACAGGTGTGTCTTGTTTTGTATGCAAATCTGAATCAAGGCGTTGCGTTGGTGGTAATTAATAACAAAAAAGTTAAAATATTGTTATAATAACGTAACCTGTATCAGGAAACCTGTGGAAGGGCACGAGGCTGCAGGCGAGGTGGTCGTCGCGGCACAGGCACAGCGCGTCGGCGCGGCACGCGCGCGGCGGCTCCGCGGCCGGCCGGGGCAGCGCCGCCGCCAGCAGCGCCGCCACGTGCAGCACGCGGCCCGCTCGCCACGCGCGCCGCATCCCGCGCGCGCTGCAACACCCGCGCCGCGTCAGCCGCGCTGCCCATACACCCGGCCGGCTGCGTGTGTCGCTCTAATCGGTGCAGCTACAAGCTTTACCCTAACTGAGCTGCGAGTCCTGGCAAAATCGAAAGACGTCACTGTTCGTCTTTGATGCGCGTAAAAATCTAAGGAGGCGGGATCTCGCGCGCAATTATGTTCCCAAAATTTGTATGAGCAGCGCACGCGTTCGCATTTCCATACGTTAACGGAAGCCCTAAGACATCGCCGAGTGGCTATGTGGAGCATCGAAATCACATAAACGCCTGATTCTATTATCACAACGTCACCATGCAATTACCAACATTACCTAAACTAAGCACCTACTTGTTTAATGGATGAAAAATGTTTTAAATTAATTTTAGTAGGTATTTATGTTAAAAAATATATTACTCATATATCCCGACCAAACCTAAACAACACAATTAAAAAAAAATGCCCCACATATCGCACCGGGATCCCTGGACCGGATTTTTCTGACTAGTATTAAACATTACTAAAGAAGCTCAATTTGACTGACCGTCATTTATGGTCAAATTGGTCAAAAACGGCCGAAAACTAGTCATAAACTGTCAAAAAAGGTAATTTTCGGTCAATTTGATTTCAGTAATAGTTTAGTTAAATAAGTATTTTACAGTGAGTCTACAACTTCTAAATGAAAACAATATGTGTTTTTTAATTAAAATTTAAATTCAAACGTTTCATTTTAATTGATTTGAATGATTTATTGTGCTCTCTTTCCCTATGCCTTTACACCGCACCCCGTTCACGTGCATTACCTATAGGTGAAATGGCAATTTCGCATCGCCGCGCACGTCAACTTTGATGACGTCTAATTTTCTCTTTATAAAACAAAATAACGTAAATTCATTTTAAATTGCATATAAATTGGGTACCTAAGAAAATAAATTATTCTTTGGGAGCACTAATGGGAGCAGTAATATTTGATTCTACTGAATTTGACAGTACAAAGTTTCATCAACTTTAACGCATTAATTTAAAATACTTTACTATAATATACTGAATATTATTTTTTATTCTGGAGTCCACATTTTTAAAATGGACGTTAATAAATCATCGTCAAAAAAGCGTCCACCGCCTGTTTCGAGAAATCAGATTACGAGTACGAGTATTATACCATTCTGGCCCGCTGTTGTGCCCTAACGTAAAGCAGGCGCGAGTAAAAATAAAACGTATCTAACGAAATTGTCCTAATTTACATTTGTCCAAATGAAATTAATTATGTATGTCGGGATGCTCCGCTCTCGCCGCGAACGCAACCTGACGCAACGGTGACGCGGTGGTTGGTGCTGTGTAAGTAGGTACCTACTCAATGACTGTTCAGTTATTGTTATTGTCTCTGAATCTGTTACGAAATGTAAAGGAGGAGGATTGCGAATACTAATTAGTTACAAGAAAATCAAAAACATGTACGGGTCCATCCGATATACCACTTTAGTTAAGCGATTACATAAAATTGGCCTAAGTAAGTAAGTATATATTTTTTGTATTAATATGAATAAGTTTTTTGTTTTGTCAAAGTTGAATGTTTGGTGCAAAGTTTTTCAAATTATTTATATAGGCTCGATTCGACCTAACTTTTATCCGAGAATACCTAGTTAACTCCTGTGGGTCTAGACAAAGTGCAAATTATAATCGCAAACCAGTCGAAAAGTGGTCAAAAAGCCCCTTTTTTGTATGGAGTTTTGACGGATTCGATTTTCGATTCGATCAAAAAGAGCATTTTGTCTAGGGGGCTGGTATAACTGGCACATTGACAGTTTCAGTAGTCAAATTGGTCGAATCCACCCTTAGGAGCTATGGAAGTTGTTTTTAATTTATTCCAATCGAACTATCCCCTCGTTACTGTTATCTGTCTACAGGCACAGGCTTGACTCATTAGGTACAGCAAAACCATATACCTATCTATTATAAAAATTAGCTTTTATGGTGTAACATAAGTAGATTTACAGTTCAATGAATAAACAGTAAAAGCTGTAGCTTATAAATGACAATTACGCGATCACCTGAGGTAACAGATTTTGTAATAATTGCAAAATTAGTGCAATAAATAACCTATACTAAGTTCTTATGTTGTAGGTAGGTATTTACTACATTTGCTGTAAGTGTAGTAAAAGGCCCAATGTCTCCAACAAACACGTTTAACAAACATAGGTTGCCATGGCAAATAATTGCTTGCTGTCATAACAGAAAATATTAAAAAACACTAGATATGGTGTTTTATATGCAAATTAATACGAGTAACATAATTATTTTCTCTAATCTGTTGCTGTGGCAATTTTATTATTACAGCTTAATTAATTTACATGAATCTAGGTCTTAAGTCAATATGTAATTTAAAATACTGTTATAACAATAAGCTTGTATAAGGATCTCTTTCTCTAAGCCTTTGTAGGTACAGTTACATAAGGTTACATTGAGTCTCCTCCAACCTTTCCTCAATTCATGAATTCAGTCACGTTTGCTGCCTTTAGTCCTAAATCAATTTGTTAATTTGGAATGTAATTATTCGTTAATACATATTACCAATAGGACTGGACTGGATTGTCCAAGTTCGCACAAATTAAATGTTTGTGTATGTATGAGATGTGATCACACTTTTGTTGCCTGTTACTGTACCTCTTACTCGGGATGGGTATTATTAAAATTGAGTGTGTACACGTATGTACCTACCTATTTCTAGCCTGTAATCCCATGTAAGTAAGTGTCCTTTGCGCTAATGTATACTCAGTAACTATATTTCGTCTGTAGTTTGGGATTAGATCAGATGGTGCAGTGTAAAATGGCCAAGATTTTTTAAACAGAAGCTGAACTTGTGTACCACCTCGCACAGACAAAAAGCACCACATTACTCTAATTAAAATTATGTAATTTACTCGCAAGATGAAGTCACCGCACCCATGATAAACATTACTATTCAATGTAGTACGAGACTACGAGTACGCCGCTACGATGTCTACGGCGACGACTACGGGCTACGGAGGTAGCCGGCGTAGTTTGCCGCGCTACGGCAGCTACAATGAATCTTGCTCTCGTTGGCTGGTGCACGTAATTTGTGGGCTTTGTGGCAGTAGGTAAGTAGTCATATTAAGGGAAGAAAACGGCTTCTCTGCTAAGAAGAGTGAGAGATAGTCACAACAGCATTCTAAAAACAGTAGCGGAGAGATACAACTCTCCGATTATTATATTTTTTTCCTAACTTTATTGTTTACTAACCCTAAGTAGTTTATAAGTAATGTATTAACTGTGACTGTTACTTACTAACACAAATATGGATTATGTACCTAAGTACTTTTTTGGAGTCAGTTTAATTTTTAGTCGGTTTTTTGTTTAAGTATACCTACTCGTACTACTAAGGCTGAGTTGCACCACCTAAATTTGACCGTAACTATGACGATAACCGGTGTTTTTTGTATGGATATTGACAGATTTTTGACGTTTGTCAAAGTTAAAGTAAGATGGTGCAACCCAACCTTAATAACTACTACAGACTACTTATGCCAAAAGAAGTTTATAGGACAGTTAATTAACGGAGGACAGTTAGTTAATGAAGCCATCTTCGGGCACACCAGCGCCGCCAAGACAACTAGGAGTCGGAGTGGTCGCCATGGCCGAAATTGGTCGGATGGATCATCATCAATTAAGGGAGATAATAAATCATGATGGCCTATGCTCGAGAAAAATGTTCGTACTATTTTTACCTGATGATGACTGTCGCAGATACTGAAAGACTCTCTCTACAGGTATGGAGCACTAACTCCTCCGGGATCTTCACATTTGACGTGCATTTCCACCACTTTTCAAAATCAACTAATAAAAACTTTATTTTATATTCACTGCTAAACCTTGCAATATAAATATTGCAAGCAGGTTAGTTGCATTTAGATGTGCCTCTTAATTTCCTAATGTTAATGCATGTCCGTTACTTACTTATGAAAGTTTAACAAAAGTCACAATACGTCATATTATCGCGCAGACCGGTGGCGCAGCATCGCGTAAGGCGCCGACCGTCGCCGCCGCCGGTCGCAGGCGGACTGCGGCTGATGGAATTACTTGCTCAGAGGCTGACGGCGGGCTGGCTGGCTGTCTGCCGCGCGCGTGGTCTCTGGCGATCTTCCTGTTCCCAGAACCATGTCACTGGCCTTCTGATCACGGGATTTGAAACTAAGCTGGTTGGGTACGAACTTATACTTACTTAGAAGGTATTAAACATGTCGGCATGAATGCAGTAGCAAAATTCTCACGCCACTGACTCCTTAAAATTTAGCACGTGTTTAAGGTGTGTCCAGTGTCGCTAAGTATGCAAGGCGACGAGGTGACATCAAAGTACCTAGGTAATGTTGTGGTGTGGTGGGGTGGGACTTTCGATGAATTGGCCACATCGTGATACGAGTATGCCTGCATTGCATGTAGGCACCTACTTATTGCAGTCACAACAACAACAGCTCAGTTACTTACCATGAATTTTATAAATAGAGGTTAAGACACAAAGGAGTTGTCCCAAAATGTATGGAGCCTAGGCCCACAACCTGTACACCTACCAAAAAGAAGGGCTTTTAAATGTACAACAGTTTCTTATTATTCAATTTCTTTTAAATGGCTTAGTTTATTCGCTTAAAACAAAAGATTGTTAAGAAAATAGCAATACTCAACAACAAAAACCATCATGGTGGACGAATGTCATTTTGATGACATCTGTCACTTTTGACATTAAGTCGTATCTTGGTGGAGAGTGACAGATGAAATCGGACAGCGACTGACGTTTAGTTAGTCTATGGTTCATCTTTTTTTTTATCTGACGCCATACGCCATCTTGTGTATGCATTTGAGAATGATAATTCATGAATAGTTTTTGATTTTGAGCGGCTAAATTATATGCTAGATATAATTATTTATATTTTTCCCTTAATCAGTAGATTTTTCTTGATTTTTGATATGGCG